GAGGGCAAAAGGAATGCCCTCCATACAGGTGCCATGAAAACCTGTGGATATACCGAAATACTTCCACCTGTCATGAAAAATACAGGTGGGCACATGAAGTATTGGAACAAGCACAGATTTTAATGTCAATAATGAACATTGTGCATTCTGTTCCTACTGTAGGGCTGTTTTTAAACAGAATAATTTGATAATTTGCTAGTTTTCAATTTTTTTTTCAATTAATGACTGTTGAATGATTTGACGTTTAAGTGATATTGCACTGGGATGCTTCTTTTGTAATTGTATCTACCAATAAAAGGCTTTAGCAGCATTAGCTCTGGTTTTTATACAACCTGCTCTAACACCTCTGAGCTTCTTCAGAGCAATGACTATTTACTTTTGAAAACCCTGTCAGAGACATATTAGTGAACCCAAGGATTATATTTGTAGAGAATAACTCCACTGGCCCTTTGAATGGCCCAAAGGTTTCTCAACAGTAAGTGCATTAACTCAGATGATTGGCTTAGAGAAACTGATAAGGAAGTAAAGTAGATACCAGAGCTAGATATTAGCTCTGCTTCTAGTTTAAATCATCACATGGACTGCAGCTCTGAGGCGGGACAGTTATTGGACCAGCAGCAATCCAGTGTAGATGAGAACAAAGGTTCTGTGTATGTGGATGTCCTGAAGTGACTTATGATCTATGTTATAACTCTGAACAACTGAAACGCTTTATATTGAAACTGTATGCTGAGTCATCTAAATATTCTAGCTGCTGTTTAGTACTTCAGTCATTTTAACACTTTTAATTTGTAACTTGCAGGAATTTACTTGCAGGTTTCTGTTCGCTACATAAACTGTTGGACAAGGAGGAATGATCTGATGACATCTTGGAGAATGAAATGAAAGCATGCCGACAGCCTCCTTCATGAACATTTCTTCAGTTGCCAAGAAGTATTGAGCATCAAAAATTTACTTTCAGTGTACCGAGACGGCGGCCAAGTACCACAAGAGTCTAGTAAAACAAACAAAAAAGCTCATATTGGTGACAGTTCAAAGTAAAATCCTGAACCCTTGACCCCGACAATGAAGGCTGTGGTGGCTCTGTGTTGCTATGAGAGACAGTTTGCTGAAATGGTTCTGGCCCACTTGTCCCTTTAGAAGGAACAATCAATACGATGATGTTTGGAGTGGTCACCCTAATCCTACGGTGAAACATTTCTGTCCTGCTGGGCGTCATCTCTTCAAGGATGGTCATGCCTCCAGATGGGTCACTGAATGGTTTGATGTTGATGAAAATAATGTGACTCATGCAGATCTCAACCCAACTTGTTAAAACAAGGGGACATCTTTTAGAAGAATGAACACTTGGAGAATCAACGCTAAGGAGCATTGAAGCTGTTGTGATGAACCAGCACCGTACTGAGATGTCTTAAACCGGTTGTTCCCGTAATTTGTCCCGTCTGTCTGCGTTTAGTAAATTTTCCATGCGTTTGTGCAGCACACTCCAGCTCTGGGTCCTTCACGTCTCTGCTGCTTGGAGACACCTAACAAGCCATCTATTTTTAGGGAATGCGATCCTAAATGTCAAAGTTCATCTTGCAGTGCGACTAGTTAAAGAGATCAAGTTGTAAATGGGAAGACAGTCAGTTCAGCCGTCAGAAATCAAAATGCCACTCAACATTTCTGAACATTTGCAAAGCATATCAAGACATTTACTTCATGACGCAACTTTGTAGATGATGCATTTCATAAAGAACATCTTCTAGTATTTGTAGTATTACAAACAAGTTTTGTTTTTACTACCATCATCCTAAACAGCAGAGATGAACTGAATGAACTCGTGCTTTGGCTGCTCATTGGACAGCGTTTTCTCTATGAAAATTCTTGAGTCACAACTGCGTGTTTTAGAAGGACAATCCAAACTGCCTCATGAATGCGAACGGTACGTACTACTGGCAACATCAATAAAATGTTCTCTGAAGATATTTATTTTTCGAGGTCCAAAATAGTGACTGTCCATCACCATGAACCTGAGAGATTATCAGCAGCAGGACATGAGGTCTACATGGGCAGAGAGGAGTCAAAGGCCAAGTTTCTCCGTCTCATATTACCCCTATCGTCATCACCCACACTGCCAGACACTGCCAAACCCCAACAGGTGCTCCCCTGTCCTGCTTCTGCTCTCAGAGTTGTTTGGGTTTGACCATGCAGACGTTTCCTGCTTTTCTAAACAGGTTTCAGGGATCAGAAGCCGTAAACACCAGAATCACAGCTTTAACACACACACCAACATGTTTCCCGTACATGTCAGTAGTTTGGGCTGGTGTCACCCAAGAATGTTTTGTTTGGTACTGAACATTGCATGTGCCATGATTTGGTGCCTGTAGATCCTCCAAGTGGTTTCAAATTTCCAGAAATCTGAAGCCTCCCTCCAACAGCTGCACTGAGACATACAGTGACATGCATGGGTTTGGGTACAGCAGGTCAAAAACTGTTTTGCTGTGAAAAGGTCAGTGAGCAAAGAATCACCTGCTTTTCCAAGAAAGTGATAGACGACACAGTTGTTCTGATATTTTAAGAAAACTTTTTTTTCTTTCCTGTTTTCAGGGTGGTGCAGTTGGTTAGCACTGTTGCCTCGCAGCAAGAAGGTCGCCGGTTCATGTCCCGGTGAGGACACCCGGGATCTTTCTGTGTGGAGTTTGCATGTTCTCCATGATGATTGTAAATTGTCCGTAGGTGTGAATGTGAGTGTGCTTGGTTGTCTGTCTATTAGTGTAGCCCTGTGATAGACTGGTTACCTGTCCAGGTGAACCTGCCTTCACCCTGAGTCAGCTGGGATAGACTCCAACCCCCCATGACCCTAGTGAGGATTAAGTGGTGTATAGATAATGGATGGATGGATGTTTCATTTATCTGCTACTCCCTTAACACTTCACCAGACGTCTACTTGCCAGCTGCACTGCAGACTAAACATACTGGTCTTAATATGTATATTAGACAAAGGGAGTATGAGGAAAAGGTTAAACAGTCTGACTTTAAATGAATGAGAATGAAAAACATTCTGAGGAACATGCGTGCTCTGTGCTCAGGAGGGTTGCAGCTTGTTTACATGTTCTGCTTGAAGTGTAATCGCGCTTCCTGATCAAAAGATAAGGAGGAACACCCAGAGCTGAAACAAGCATCCCTCACTGCTGACAGCACACATACAGGACGGGTTTATAGGACTATCATATTACATATTACATACTACACACACATACACACTGGACAGCATCCTGACTATTTACTACGTGGCACATTAAAAAATAAAAGAGGTGAGGCTTCAAAATCTCTTGAATGATGCCGGAGGAAGGATCAAAAGGTGAATCCTTTGGAATTACTTCTATTTATCAATATAATGGTGATAATATCATCGTCTCCTTGTTCTCTGAGGATTGTATTTCTGTCCTGCAGGCGCCTACAGGTCTGTGACAATGAGCAGGAGGCCTCAAGGAGTCACTTCTGTGGTAGATCAGAGAGTTTAGTGTTCAACTCCAAGGCCAGATGAAACAGGTCCAGAGCACAGAGAACGTACCCATCTATAGGTAGCACGACAACAGGTGTATAAATACTGACTCCTGCTTGGTGAGCTCCTCTCCCATAACTGTGTGTGGTGAGAGATTCTGTGCACTGCTGAATAACGAGACACTAACTTCAAGATCCTCGTTTTGCAAGTGGTGATCCCTCTAAGTCCACAGCAAACTAATGTGAGAACATGTCAGAGATTGTCACGAGTCGGGTCTGATTCAGGTTCTCACTGTGGAGAAGAAAACTAATCAAGATGCCAGTTTGCATTGATGCCCACCAGCTGAGGCTGAAGAAGTAAAATGATCCTGAATATACAAGTAAATATACAACAAACTGGCTTTAAAAATGAAGATCCAAACAACATGGCTGAGCTGAATCCATTCTGTGAGGAAGAATAATCCAAAAGTCCTCTGGTGTTCTGTTGTGTCCAAAAAAAAAAACACGATAAACTTCTCAGGAAATTCCATTTTCTGTTGGGTTTTTTCAAAGTGGAAATTATGCAAGATGGGTGGGATCATAAACTATCCTCCAGTGGTGGATGCCTTGAGGAATTTTAATTAGTCTTAACTGCTCGACTGTTCCTCCGAACCAGACGGTTCATCTCTCCAGAGCAGACTGGTCCAAGCTCCTGCAGGCAGAACACAACAGTAGGTGCCCTGATGTTTTGCTCTTAATGTTCTTCAGCTCTTCTCAAAAGCTTCTTTTCTGTTAGATTTTTCTGAACAATCTGTACATGTAGATAGAAACTTAACTGCATCAAGCTTGACCAAGACCTGATGGGCAGACAGATAACAGAGAATGTTAATGACGGTCATTTCGCTGTCTCCACCACTTCCCCTAACAGAGACAGCAGGAGCCCTTGTCCATGTGCCTCACACTCCTAATGTCTTTATTATTACAGACTGGGCGCAATGGAAGTGAAGGTGTCTGTGGAAGGGATCCCTCGTGTAGTCTGTGGAGTTACAGAGGAAACAACATGCCAAGAAGTGGTGCTAGCGTTGGCTCAGGCCCTGGGTATGTACAGATGTGTGCCGTTCTGACACAGCTTATGTTCTGACAGACTGACCAAGCTGATAACTACATGTCATCCTTCTCTTTAGGCCAACCTGGACGCTTCACCCTACGGGAGAAGTTTAAGGACTTTGAGCGCTGCATGGCGCCTGATGAACACCTTCTGGAGACGCTGGAGCGGTATGGAGATCAGGCCAGGGAGGTCCAGCTTACTCTGTTCCACAACGGACCCTCTGTCTGGGATGACATGAGCAGGGCAAAAGTCGGCAGATACCAGCCCTGCCCGCCGCTGAGAAGAAAAGACGCAGGTGCTAGAATGCGAAGAAGCAGCGGTTCACTGAGTTTGCATCGAAGGAGTTTGCCACCGTTGTCATGTTTAAGACAAGAGGCTGAGCAGAAACCGGAAGATGTGAAAAGGCCGAAAAGAAAGTCTCTGACTCTGATGGAGGAGGCCTGGGATTGGCTGGAGAGCCTGGGGAAAGGCAAAGTCTACAGCACTGCCTGCGATAAGGAGAGCAGCAAGAGGACAGATAAAAGGAACCGCTCCTCTTTGGATGTTTCTATCACTGCTGACAAAGATAACTCCGGTCCGAGCAGCAGAAGTAAAGCCAGAGGACAGAAGATGCTAAAGTCAGAGCGTCAGATGTCCTGCTGCATGGGGAATCAGACAAGAGACAGAGAAAGCAAAACTCAGGAGGCAACATGTGATCTGCACAGTTCAAGCTGTTCCAAGACTAAAGACGACAAAAATAGTCTGAGAGAAACCATCATCCATCAGCTTGTGTGTCTGCAGGACTTACAGGTCCAGATAACACACATAGACAAACAGATTGTTGAGCTTGAGGAAAAACAAAGGGCCCAAAAAGCAGAACTGGAAGCCTGTGAGAGAATCGCTGAGGAGGAAATGGAGCAGATACAGTTTTGGGAAAACGAATTAAAGGCAGAGGAAGGTTATGAGAGAGATTTGCAATCCCAGTTCCTTGAGATGAGAGCGAAGGCTGTGGACTGCAGGGCTCAGCTGGAGGAGTACAGGTGCAGAATGCAAGCGCTCGATTTCTTTGTCGACTCAAACACCGTTCAGGAAGATTCAGAGACGGTTTCAAAAGCTGATGCGAAAGCTGCCACTGAACTTTCATCTGTTTCAACTGAAGATGAATATCTGCCACCGTGTGACCCACACGGGGATGTCAACAGGAAGGTCCTGCCCAGAGGAGACTTCAGCCCCCCTCACGCTCTAGTTCATCCCAGCCAGATGAAGGAGCGGCGGCCCACGGGACCCACTGAGCTGAGGGAGTGGTGGAAGCGCTGGTCCGAGGCCCAGAGCCCTGAATCACGGACTAAAAAGAAGGCAGTCCACCGCTCCGAGCTCACCATATATCTGGGCAGCACCAAGGTTTAGAATCAGCAGGAGGCGCAAAGTCAGTAACTGTGATAAACGCTTCATTGTACTGGATTCATTTTACTCATAAAAGACCTGAGATGAGGTTAAACCTGTAAAAGGTTCCCACCTGACCTTTAACAACGCCATGCACAGTGTTACCTTAATGTTATAAAGATGTTTCTTGATCAAAACCTGGAGGTAAACATGAGACTTTTCACTGACTAGAACTTTTTTTTTTGACCAAACACTTATTCAGTGATATGAGCCTCACCAGTTAATCCAAAACGCCTTTTTAAAAAAAGTTTTCTCCAGTGAAATATCAGAAAACACATCCAGAGTACCGATGCTTGTTTCTGTTACTGCATGTCGTAGATATTAAACTAATGCAGTTTTGCTGCTGAAGCTATGATGTATGCCACGGTAGTTTAATGTATCTCCTGTTCATATGAAGGTCTGTACCTCACCATGTTAGCACCGTGTGATGACATATGTTGTAAACTATACAAATAAAACTGAAGTGAAAAAATTCTAAGGTCTCAGAATGTCAGAAAAAAATAACAAAATAGAAATTGCAAAACTTGAATCCACCACTATGTGCATCAGGGCTGGAACACTACAAACAGTTTTAGTATAAAAGTAAAGTTTGTGTTAAAGTTCTTCATTAAACACACGACAGTCACTGAACATTCAGAAATCTGCAAGAATTTCTCAGTGTTAACAGCTGTTCCGATGGTTTGCATCCTTCAGGTAGGAACTTGGTGTTTACAGAGGTTTTACAAAAGAAGCGGGTCAGGGGAAGATGTAATGAGAACAGAAGGGCCAGGAGAAGATGTAGTGAGACCAGAAGGGCCAGGAGAAGATGTAGTGACACCAGAAGGGCCAGGAGAAGATGTAGTGACACCAGAAGGGCCAGGAGAAGATGCAGAAGGGCTAGGAGATGATGCAGTGAGACCAGAAGAAGATGTAGTGAGACTAGAAGGGCCAGGACGTTACGTTAACCACAGTGCACTTCTGAACTTCGCAACCACACAGATTCACAACATATCCAAATAAAACATGACATGTGCAGACTGACCGATGCACTTAGGTTATATGCTGCATGTTACAGCCTTACAGGGACAGAGAGACATCAGACGATGAGGATCGTCTTTGCTTTGTATGAATATGAACTTTGACAGATTTCCTCTATCTCGTACTGTTCCCTTTATTTGAGGAAATTTGTCACCTGTAAGCACAGAAACACGATGAAGTGACTCATCTACGGAGAAGTTGATGTTCAACTTCTTTCAAATGTTACCTG